ATTGTTGTTTGGTGGGCCCGGGCTGGGGATTTGAACCCGCCACCTTAGGTGTATGTGGCTGGCGCCTTAGCCACTTGAGCCACAGGCGCCGAGCCAAAATGTCATGTTCTAACACTAACACCTATTGTTGAGTAAAGTTGATGTAATATTAAACATTTTACAAAGTGATTTTTATATATATTCTCATCTTACTAATACAACTCTGGAGATAGTGGATATAATCCTAGATTTAACATAAAAGTTAAGGCTCAGCTGGGCATGATGGCTCACTTGATACCTCACATGATGCCTCAATCCTAGCATTTTGAGGGCCTGAGGCCAAAGATTACTTGAGGGCAGGAGTTCAAGACCAGCAGGGTAATAATCTCTACAAAATTTTTTTTAATTACCCAGGCATGTTGTCTCATATTTGTAGTCCCAGCTACTCAGAGCCTGAGACAGGAAGATCACATAAGCCCAGAAGTTTGAGATTGCAGTGAACAATGATGATAGCACTGCACTCTAGCCCCAGCAGCGGAGCAAGAGCCTGTCTCAAAATAGAGGGGGTGCTCACAAAGGACACATTTATAGAGTCAGTAGATGGTTTACCCAGAATAAAGTTTAAAATTTCTGGCTCTAATTTCAATATTTATTTATATATTAATTTTTTCTATGCCCCACTTTTTTTTTTAATTGAGGCAAAATTAACTATATTAAAGTATACAATTTAGTGGCATGCGTCCCCAGTACTGTACATCACTTTAGAAGGAAACCCTGTTACTTATTAACCATTCAAGGCCCCTCCATACTTTTTTTAGCTTCCTTCTTTTATGTCTTAAACATAGCCTAACCAGGCCAGTCTATTTTGCATTGGTGTTTATAGTAAGTTTCTGGTGTTCTCTGATACCTTATCCAATCTATGTTTAAATGTCAGAATTTATGGTGTTTCCTACCAAAGATCCCTTATACAAGAAAATTAAAGTTTATAAAGTATGTTAGCCTTAAAGGTACACCAGCTTTTAAAATAAATGTAGTCCACCAAATGAAAGTATGTCAAAGTTATGCTTTACAGAAATACTTGTTGACGCTTCCAGTTCCTATGTCTACCTTCTGTTAAACCTTTGTTGGTGAAATATTCCTACCCTTTAGGTTTAGGGTATGCTTATGGGAATAAAAGGACACAATGAGGAGTCATCACACTTAGCATAGAAAAACTCTGATTCCATGTGTCCACTTCTCAGTATCATGGATGATTTAGTATGTGTGCTGTTAAAATCGGCCCAGATGACTTAGACAAGTACACTTTTTGCTGTTAAATAAATGATAAATTGCAAATGCATTTCTCCATCTCCACTCTTGTTTTCTATCTAATGAGTTAGGGTAGGAACATTCATTTGAGTCTAGATGTGTCAGTGTCACTCTAGAAAAATATCTTATTAGTATGCTATGTGTAAATACTGTGACAAAAGGCACTAACATGTGCCAGTATACTATTACTTAAAGTTCAGGAGAAAAAAATACTGCAATAATCAGAAAAGGAGGGATAAGTTTTATGAAAATCCAGACTTACAATTCAAATTTATTATAAATTAAAATGTGGGTCATTTTCGTTTTAATTATGATAAATACTTTTGATTGTCTCTTCCATGCCAGGAATGGTGCTATATATATACACTACATCTTTACAAAAACTCCATGAGGTTGTAATTCTAACCTCACATTACATTTTTTTTTTTTTTTTTTTTGAGACAGAGCCTCAAGCTGTCCCCCTGGGTAGAGTGCCGTGGCATTACAGCTCACAGCAACCTCCAACTCCTGGGCTCAAGCGAGTCTCCTGCCTCCGCCTCCCAAGTAGCTGGGACCACAGGCGCCCGCCACAACGCCCGCCTATTTTTTGGTTGCAGCCGTCATTGTTGTTTGGCGGGTCCGGGCTGGGGATTCGAACCCGCCACCTTAGGTGTACGTGGCTGGCGCCTTAGCCTGTTGAGCTATAGGCGCCAAGCCTTAACCTCACATTACAAATGAGCACCTGAGATCCAGGGAAGCTAAGGAACATAGCCAAAGCTGAGTAGATATGTGCTGGTTCTCTTGATATTCAGGGATGCCCACCTGTGTGAATAACAGTGGGTTTTTACTGTATTCTTCATTGTTACTTCTTAGTCTTAACCACTCTTTCTTGGCATTACAATTGCTGATAAATCTCAGAATTTAAAAGGACTTCAGAGATCATCTACAGACACCAACCTCAGCATCTTCTCAAACTATTTAGATGCTTTAGGAAATTAACATTGTGCAGAATAGTATGTAATGGCCCAATTTATAAGCATTTTGCCCCACATCTAATAATAATGGCTAAAATTTGTTAAGTGTCATGCTCTGTTTGCTACTGCCCTGAGCTGCTTTTGTGTATTATCACAATGTATGAAATACACAAAAAGATATATTATCCCCTTTCTGTGGAGAAGGTAACTAAAGCTCAAAGAGGTTTAATAGCTTGCCCTTGCTCACCCAGCTGCTGTATGATGGAGCTGAAATTTGAATCCAGCCAGTTTGTTCTCCTAACTGTTACATATTGCAGCCTCTCAAAAGTAAACTGTGAATCCCAGGCTCAAGAGTTTGCATCAGGCATTTTGTATGTAATTGCATAGTGATAGTTAACAATGAGATTCAAAGTAAAAATTCCATTCACAAAGTAGGGGAAAACTGGCCTAAACTAAGTAGCAACATCTGCTGATAGTGACTCCAAAATAGAGTGATTGGCTCCTAACTGATAGGGGCAGTTAAATTGACTGTGTTGACATAGAGTGCAGCTTTTTTGTTTTGTTTTGTTTTCATTTGAGATGGGTTCTTGCTCTGTTGCCCAGGCTGGAGTACGGTGGTGTGATCATAGTTCAGCTCCGATCTCCTGTACTCCAGAGATCCTTCTGCCTCAGCCCCACCCACCCCCACTTCCAACCCCTGAGTTGAGTAGCTAAGGATTAGAGGTGTGATTTACTATACCTACCCCTATATAGGGGGCAGGGGCAGAGGAGGGACAGAATCTCACTATGTCACCTCCAGTAGAGTGCTGTAGTGTCACAGCTCACAGCAACCTCAAACTTTTGGGCTTAAGCAGTTCTCTTACCTCAGCTCCCAAATAGTTGGGGCTACAGATGCTCACCACAACACCTGGCTATATTTTGTTGCAGTTGTCATTGTTTAGCTGGCCTGGGCTGGATTCGAACCCACCAGCTCCGGTGTATGTGGCTAGCGTCGTGACCACTGTGCTACGGACACCGAGCCTGAGTTTTTTATTTTTGTAGACACAAGGTCTTGCTATATTGTCTAAGCTGGTCTCAAACTTCTAGCCTCAAATAATCCTCTCACCTTAGCCTCACAAAGCACTGTTATTACAGGTCTGAGTTACTGTGTTCAGCCTAGAGTGTGGAATTTGCTCTGGGGTGCTGTATTAGTTGTAAATTTAGGTTTTACAGATATAGACTGTGCCAAATGTTTAGGGACTTCTGTTTTTTTGTTTATTTGTTTATTAAATGATAGCTGTATACATGGGGTACAGTGTGGTGTTTTCATATACAATTTGAAATATTTTCATCAAACTGGTTAACATAGACTTTATGTCAATTTTCTTAGTTACTGTGTTAAGATGTTTATACTCTACTTTTAGAAAGACTCACTTGTACCCTTGTAAGACAAACCATAGAGGACTTCTGTTTTAAGAAAATTTAGGCTGCCTCTTAGAGTAGGTACATAGATGCTAATGAATACTTATCCTTCAGTTTACTGTATAAAATGTTTCCACATGCTACTTTATAAAGTTGCTTTTTAGCTTTGTCACCTCCTGGGATATTCACTATACAAAATTACCAGCCCAAATTTAAAAGGGTTAGCTGTATGTTTGTATTGTGTAGTATCATTTATGACCTAGGAAAATATAGTTAGACCTTGGATTCCATCCACATCCACGGGATTCAACCAACGATGAATAGCAAAATTTTTTAAAACCTGAAGGTTGCTTCTGTGCTATATACATACAGACTTTTTTTCTTGTCCAATATAGTACAGCAATTATTAACATGACATTTATACTGTGTTAGCTATTATAAGTAATCTAGAAATGATTTAAAGTGTATGTAGAATATATAGCTTATATACAAACCCTACATCATTTTATTTCAGGGACTTGAATGTCATGGATTTTGATATCCTCAGAGCATCCTGGAACCAATCCCCCATGGATACATAGGCACAACTTGTACTATGCTTGTTTAATTCTCTCATTTTTACAGTTTTCAAAAATATACTTCACATAAGTCTGCTCATGTGTTCTCTGTTCTAGTAGTGAACCCTGTGAAAATTTTGAATTTGATCCATTATTTAAAATTGGAAGCCTGTATTTATCACTTTATTATACAATAAAGGTGTGAACATGCCCATATTTAATAGTTTATGTGGCATATCTATATATTATAGCCTTATTTTTCATTCCTTAAATTTTATTTCAAATATTTTCCATAATAAGTCATAGCACACCATTGGCTATTAATTTTTTAAATAGGCTTTATACCTAATTCTCAGTATGATGCAGAAACTAAATGTATATCTGTATCTCTTTAAGGAAACTTTTTTTTTTCTTCTATACTAAATGTATATCTGTATCTCTTTAAGGAAACTTTCTTGCATGGGGTAAAGTGCCTTGGCATCAGCCTAGTTCACAGCAACCCCAAACTCCTGGGCTCAAACGATCCTATGGCCTCAACCTCCCTAGTAGCTCAGACTACAGATGCCCACCATAACGCCCAGCTAAATTTTCTATTTTTGGTAGAAATGGGATCTTGCTCTTGTTTTCGTTGGTCTCAAACTTGCAAACTCAAGGGATCCTCCCGCCTCAGCCTCCCAGAGTACTGGGATAACAGGAGTGAGCCACTGCATTGTTTTTGTTGTTGTTGTTGTTGTTTTTTATTGAGACAGAGTCCCTCTCTGTCATCCAGGTGAGAGTGCAGTATGATCATCACAACTCATTGCAACCTCAAAATCCTGGACTCAAGTGATCCTCTTGCTTTAGCCTCCTGAGTAGCTGAGAATACAAGAACATGCCACCACACCCAGCTAATTTTTGTATATTTTGTAGCGATAGGGTCTTGCTCAGACTGGTCTTGAATGCCTGCTCTCAAATGATTCTCCTGCCTTGGCTTCTGGGATTACAGGCACGAGCTACCTTACCTTGCCCAGCAAAGAATCATATTATGTACATGACCTGTTGCACCCAAGTGCTCATCTGCAAATGAAACTGAAATAAATGATATAAAGTCCCTACTATAGTCCCAGGCACATAACAGGTTAAGAAATGTTAATTCCTTTCCCTTATTAAAGCATACTTTATAGGTTTATTGTTTTCAGTCTTGTTTTTGTTTACTGTCCTCTTCTCAAATGTATGGGATACATATTTTCAGAATGTATCACATTTTTAGCTATTTTGCACTAGAACCAATTAAAAGGAATGAAGCCCCCACTCTTATATTTCCCTGCTTACTCCCAATTTTAGAAAACAAGAAAGACACTAGGAGAAAAATTATCTCCTATTCATTTGAAGTCTGATTTTTCTTACTGTAATACGCTGATGAAATATTGCTTTTTATGTGCAGATCCTTTGCAAGCGAAGAAAGTCAGAAAGGTGCCTCCTGGTTTGCCTTCTTCTGTGAGTACCCTTTTTGTTACTTGATGATAAACTGATTTCAAATTTCAGTATTCCTTGCCAAAAGAGTGCATTCGACTGGAGCCAGTGGGCATACTTTACACAATCATTGTTCACTGCTGAACAAAATCATTGATTGAGATAAGTCTGCATTTAATATTAGGTTTTTAGATTTCTCTGCAGTGATTTGTAGCTAACTCATATGTTCTTATGCCATGTCCCTGTCATTTGAATTTCCCTCTTGGGAAGACGACTAGGCCGATAGCTGTCAAAGATGATCTCCTGTACAGGTCTTTTGATGTTTAATTAGTCATTATGTTGCTGAACAGGAGGACAGACAGAGATTAATAGTTGAAAATCTTAGAAATTTACATTTGTAATAATCCCAGTGGAGCTAAAGACATTAAGATTCGGAGGACACGTTTGGCTCAGCTTGCCTCAGTGGGACTGAGGTTGTTAATATGCATAAATCACCAAGTCAGATGCTCGTTGTGAAGCCCTGGTGGATTTTAAAGCCTTCATTAAGCCTTTCCTAACTTCAACCTAGCATCAGGAAAGCTTTCAAGCAACTAGTTTGTTGATCCCTCTTTGCTCAAAAAATGTATCCTTTGAGAATAAAGGGCTTTCATGAAGGAGGCTGGAAAGGTTTGGTGGAACAATCATTAATGGCCTTGATAATCTAATACTATAAGGGTGTTTGTTCTGTTAAATATGCTTTATTCTTTAAAAGAGTAAAAGTATTTTGTAAGTGAACCCACATCATAAATCCACCTACAATTTTAAAATCTCTAGTGCAAGGAAGGAAGATGTTTTTATTCCTCTCCCTTTCCTTAGAACAAATAGGGAGTGAGGCTGTTGGATCGAGGCCCTGTGCCTTGTCGGGTACATCTCTTTTGTTGTGCAAATGGATGTTGGGCTTTTATTTGGCAGTACTTAACACATGGGCGCAGGTGCTGCCAGATGAGTCACAGCTCATCGAAGTATAGACTGAATGGAATATCCGGCTTGGCAAGTAGTAATCTAGAAAGAGCAGCATAGGTCTGAGCTTTTTATTTTTTTATTAAGGATAAAGTACAGATATCATCTTTTTGGTTGCTTGCCTGCCTTCTTTTCTGTGTTCTTCCTGCCTTCTCTGTCGTGTGATACATGAAAAGTCAAATTTGAAATCCTCTTTGAAACTCTGTTCCAGATGGATCTCGGTTTTATGCTGTCTAGGGCAGCTGTGCTCTGAACCTGCAGCCTACCTGGAAGGTTGGATTGCAGCTGCAGGCATTCTTAAAAGCTTTTGCTTGCATAAGCACTTGGACCCACTAGAGGCTGAATAGCTGCTTGATAAACAAAATGAACACAGTGCCTCAAATCATTATTCCAGAAGACAGGAATTTTTTTCAGCAGCAGCTAAAAATAGTTGGGCAATTTACATTTTAACAGTTGTGTGCTGTGCAGGGGTAGGTGTTTCAACAATATAACATTAATACTGACAGAACTACTAAAACATATAACAGTGTAATTTTCTTGTAATTTATTACTGTAATTCTATGAGAGTAAAAAAAGTTAAATTACCTTTTAATATTTAGTGAAACTATATAGATTTTTAAAAAACCAAATTAGTAAATGAAAAATTCATCACATTTCTTCTCAACCTGACATTCATTGTAAAAACCAGGATATTTTCAGTGTTCCACAGTTCTTTTCTTTTTAAAGAAAAGGGGCAAATTGGACAGAACAGCCTGGAAAGAGAACAGACACCAGGGGCCACCAGTGCTCCTTACATTCTAATTATAGCAGTACTCACTACTTGGAAGTAGTTCGCTTCATGGGCTCAGGTGTCTGAGACAAGCCACAGGAAGGGAATGCCACTGGACTTTGATGAAACCTTGATTTCTTTATGAACCATTAGTATATTTCATAAGGCAAGCTTATTTACATATATTATTTTACTGGCTACCTTAGTACACATTGAATCTTATTAAGGATATTCATTAAAGTACATTTTAAATTAAATGCTTATGCTGAAACCTCTGATTTGTAAAAGAGAAAATTTTTAAACTTCAAAAACAGATACTATGATAAATAATGGCTAAATAAGTTTTGAAAATTCTGTGGTTATGCCATATATCTTCTTAGTAGCTAAGACAAATAGGAAATTTAAAGTTGTGGTTTTCTGTTTGAATGCTTTTATTGAAAAAATACGTAAATTGATAAATAATGTCAGAATAACTTCTGAAAACTCTATGGTTATGCCATATACCTTCTCAGTATCTAAGACAAATAGGAATTTAAAGTTGTGATTTTCTATTTAAATGTTTTTATTGAAAAATGTGTCAATTGTAGACTTCTAACATGCAAATTATTTTTAAAATTGTGTATAAAAATGAAAATATACGTATTTTATTTCATGATAATAGGAATATTGTACTTCCCAAGCAAAACTAGAAATTTGACATTGACATTCAGATTTCAGCAGTTTGCTGCTTGTCTACTCTGTTTTTAATCATTTATAAACTATATGTTACTTTTACTAAGAAACAGGAAAAGAACTAAGTTAGCATAATACTGCAGAAAACAATAGGCAGAATTACTTTACATGCAAAGCATTGATAATCTGTATAATTTGACTATCAAATACTGGTTAAAGGACTTTTTTTGTGTAAGCCATGATTTCTATTTGGGTATAACATATATGCCAGCTTCTCTGTTCCTCTCAGTAGAACTAAATAGTAACTTCTGTTTATGAATGAAGATCTAATTAAGGTTTGTTGAATATTATTAGAGCAGCATGGTCAGTAATGTTAAAGAAACAGTCTACCCAAACCTGTCTGGCTTGGCTACTGATAGGTATTATAACCTTAGACTAGTCAGTCAGCTCTTTAGAAGTTTTAAGTGAGAAATCTGAAGTTTTTTTCATGTCTAAAATGCTATGTGTTTATGGTTTTTAAAACTGATATTCTCTATCAGGCACAGTAGCTCACACCTATAATTCTAGCCCTCTGGGAGGCCAAAATGGTAGATTGCTTGAGCTCAAGAGTTCAAGACCAGTGTGAGCAAGAGTCAGACCCCATCTCTACTAAAAATAGAAAATTAGCCAGGCATTGTGGTGGGCACCCATAGTCCTAGCTACTCAGGAGGTTGAGGCATGAGGATCACTTGAGCCCAAAGAGTTTGAGGTTGCTGTAAGCTATAATGATGCCATGCCATAGCACTCAATCCAGGGCAACAGAGGACTCTCTCTCAAAAAAAAAAAAAAAATTATAAGTTCAGTTAATAACCAGAAAGCATAGTGAACATAGTTTTCTTTCTCCTGATGAAGAAATGGTGTTTTTAAGCACATGAAATTTTCTACTTCTCCAGAGAGATTGAAAGATTGGACAAAGTGAACTTTTGTAGCAACAACAGTGTAATAATGCATGGACATCGGAAATTCAAATATACAAACACCATCATTACCTTCAATGAACTAATTATATTGCAGTGAAGCAAGTAATGGTATATATCAAGTCCTCTGGTAACACAGGGTAGACAGAACTAACCCTACTAATGGCTTCAGGAGGAGTTGACCTTTAAACTGTATCTACAATGAAGAGTAGCAGCAGGGAGAATGGACCAGGCAGGGAAAAGGCATGGAAATATGGGATTACAAATACATGTTCAGGCCATATCTAATAGTAAGAGTAACAGTACAGTATTACTATGTTCTATACCAGATGCAACCTTTATAATTTTCCTATGGCAGACCCACACTCCCAACTCCAGAGGAAGATTGAGGGGAGAACACTTAAGATTAGTCCAGATATGAAAAGGGATAAGTTATCTTAGCAGTCCACCCGGGTGAAAGCCTAGGTATCCCAGCCAGTAGGTTCTAGAAGGTATTTACACTTGTGAAGGTTACCTGGGACTTTGCAGGGTGTTTTACTCTCCTTTGAGGATTCTTGAACCTCCTCTCTCTCCTCCGTTCACTAACCACCAGCTCTAGTCTTTGCATGTGCACCAGCTGTTCTTCATCTGTATCAGGTTTTTACTAAGATACAAAGTTTGAGAGGATTGGGGGATAGTTTTTCGCCCTAATAATTGGGGGGGGGGGCATTTATGCTGTGTATTTTAGGATCCTTTATAACCTCAGTGTCCCTCTATTAATAGTACAGGACTTGATGTGTGAGAAATTGTGTTAACCATTACGCACCTTACCCTCATCTTTAATCTTTGCCACACAACTCTGTATTAAACAACTAATATTCCCTGCTTAAAAATGCAAAGATTGAAGGCTGGCATGGTGGCTCTCAGCTATAATCCTAGCACTTTGGGAGGCTCAGTTAAGGCCAGGAAATTGAGGTTGCAGTGAATCATGATGATGACACTGCACTCTAACCTAGGCAGTAGAGTGAGGCCTTATCTCAAGAATAAAAAAAAGGAGAGATTAAGATTCAGAGACATAAGTAACTTGTCCTAACTTGCCCCAAAAGTACACATAGAGACAAGATTACATCTTAATTTAATATCATAGATTAGATTACACCTGCAGTCCTAACACTTTGAGAGGTTGAGGCACAAAGGATTACTTGAGTTTAGGATCGAAGCCGTTCTGAGCAAAAGCAAGACCCTGTCTATACGAAAAATTGAGAAGTTAACTGGGCATGGTGGCACATGGGTCTTGTCCCAGCAGTTCAGGAGCTTGAGGTGAGAGGATCGTTTGAGCCCAGGAGTTTGAGGTTACAGTGGACTATGATGACACCACTGCACTATAACTGGAGTGACATGGGGGGGGGGGAGTTATATATCTTGATTTATTTGTAAAATATATTGCTTAGCATATTAAATTTAAAACATAGTTTATTCTGTCAGTTATGTTTTTCCTGATCAAATGTATTTTTACTTGGCTTTGTTGTTTAAAGACCTGCCACCCAGTGCTCACCTAATGTGCACAATGGTGGGGCATACAGCACACCCTGGGTAAAGGGTTCAACTACAACTTTACCTTGGAAGTGAAAACAATGTAGCCTAAACAT